GGATTCGGTTGGTCGAAAGGTGTTCCAACCACGTTCATGACGAATCGGCCAGGAACAATGGAAGGTTGCAGATAATGAAATCATCATTATCCGCTCCACCGACTTAGCAAGCAAGCTGATAATCCTCGAGCCACAGTCCAGGGTTTGTTTCCCCAGAGTATTTCGAAATGTTGGTCGGCGGTCGGTACCGCGGTGGGAAGGCGGCGTTGAGGATGTATTGGACAAAGGCCTGAGGTCTCGGCAAGTCAGGGCTCGGGCTTTGGTCTTCACCACTGTCGTAGCATCCACCATGATGAGGGTGGTAGCCACGGCTAGCCTCCTCCCTCGCATCGCCCCGGGTACGCCTATGGGCGTCGAGGGTGTCGCGCGTGTCACGGTGGAGGGTGAGACGTTCATGCACTGGGACCGCCGCACGTGGCCTGCCGCCTTGCTGCGCCTGGTGGACTGACACGTCCCTGTTGGGTTGCTCTAAGGGCGCGCGCTGGCTGGCGTCGAGCTCGCATCGTCGGGACAGTGAGCTCTTAGCCTATTGCATCGCCGCACGCTCGAGTAGTGTGCGAATCTCATGATGGGCCCGGTGATCCTCGGGTGTTGCAAGCCCTGGAAGCCCACGGAGCAAGGCCACCACAGCAGTGATGTTCTGGCTTGCTCGGGTGAAGTGTGGGAGGGCTTCGTCGTCCTCTATGATCCTCCAGTTCACGTCGTGGGCCACGGCATGTGCATGCCCACCGTCTCTGTGGCGCTCGATCTCTCATTCGAGCTCCACGCGTTCCTGCTCAAGCTGGAGTCATGCTTCCTCGAGCTCTTGGTGCCGGGCCTTTAGCTGCTCTACCCGTAGGCGAGGTGGGACCCCTGCATCCCCCTCGACCTCGTTGTCGAAGCCATTCGTTGGGGTAGCCTCTCCCTCGTGGATGCTTTCGACGTACCCCTCGGGGGTACCTGTCATGAAACATTCACGAGAGGGGTGACGGCTCCCCTTGTTGGAGTCAGAGTTGGAGGGCGACTCCGAATCTCCTGATAGGAGGTCATGGAAAGATTCCACGGCATATTCGGTCATCCCCACAAACTTGTCGTTCATGGGGGATGGGGGCGTGCGTTGTGCCACAAGGTGGCCAACGGTCTCGATAGCGTTGCGCAGACCGAACGGGAGCGCCGTCGGGGCACTCCGGATGAGGTATTCTAGGGAAAGCAGCTCTCCTCCGGCAAGCTACGTCATGACATTGGCGAACGAGAAGGTGAGGCGGCCTAAGTCCTCCCAGGACGGTCAGGGTCCTAGGAAGGCGCCAAGCTGGCGTTCTAGCCTCCTGTAATCAAAGCCGAGGAGCTGGTCGCTCCCGGAGGCACGGGCCTCCGGTGCGTGCAGCCGTAGCTCCTCAAGCGCCTCGGTGATCGCGTCGAGGCCAGAGGAGTGGAGAGGTTGGACGGCGACGAGAGCCTGCACCAACTCTTCCCCCGTCATGACGATGAAGTCTAGGTTCCCGAAGCGCACGTGCGCGCCTAGGACCCAGCTGACGCCACGACTAGCCATCCGAGGCATGATGTGGACGTTGAGACGCGCAAAAAGCCCCTACCCGGCGCGCCAACTGTCGGTGTTTTTAGACCACCAACGAGTAAATTTGTATTTACGCGTCTGGCTCGGATGATGTGCTTAGAGGACACAAGGTTTATACTGGTTCGGACAGAAAGTCCCTACGTCTAGTTCGTCGCTGCTACTCGTGTTACTAGCACTAAAAGTTTGTAGTAGGGGTTATAAATAGGCGAGAGAGGGAAATGATTCTAAGTCTCTGGTGAAAGGAGTGAACGAGTGCTGAGAGCTCAATCGCTGCTTAGCCGTGTGCTCGTGTCATGCTCTTGTGCGGATCTAGACCGATCCCCTTCATGGGGCGCCCGCTTTTTCCTTTTATAGGCCAAGAAAAAGCATAGGTTACAACGGAGGAAAAGGAGAAGAACGAGAGAGAGAAAGGCTTCTAGGATCGCTAGGTCCTTCTTCTCTTTCATGCGGGTTCCGCCGATCCTGTAGATGTCAACAAGGACGGCTCCACATCGTGGCCCTGTCCGTCACTGGCGTCATGCGCAGGCGTCATCTGCCGGTCATGGCGTTCCATCCCGTCCCGACGGATGTCGTGGTGAACTGACGCGCCTGTCAGCGTTCGTACGAGGGTTAGGCAGAACAACACTGGTATGCCCGACGATGTTCTTGATGTGAATCCTCAGGTATGGCCCGTCATCACCTCAGGTTACATCGAGTCGTGCCCGCCTCTTCCCTGGTGTTAGAGTTTTGACCTAGGCCCATACGCCTAGACCTGGAGTGGTTGGCGGCGATATGGGTCCCCATCGGGCGAGACGGAGCCCGCGACCCTTCGGGGTCAGGCGAGACAGAGCCCGTGACTCAGGGTCAGGCGAGACGGAGCCCACGGCCTTGGGCAAGACCCCCACGGCCTCGGGGTCGGGCGAGACGAAGCCCGCGACCCTTGGGGGTCGGACGAGACAGAGCACGCACCCAAGGGTCGGGCGAGATGGAGCCCGCGGCTCAATGTCGGGTGAGACGGAGCCCACGGCCTTGGGCGAGACCCCCGTGGCTGCGGGGTCAGGCGAGACGGAGCCCGCGACCCTTGGGTCGGATGAGACGGAGCACGCACTGCACCCAAGGGTCGGGCGAGACGGAGCCCGCGGCCTCGGGGTCGGCGAGACGGAGCCCGCGACCCTTGGGGGTCGGACGAGACGGAGCACTCACCCATGGGTCGGCCGAGACGGAGCCCGCGGCCTTGGGCGAGACCCCCGTAGCCTCAGGGTCGGGCGAGATGGAAACTGCATCCTTGGGGTCGGGCGTGATGGAGCCCGTACCCAAGGGGTCGGCGCGAGACATGTTAATACGTCTTGCTCTATCCAGGGAAGTGAGCGTGGGCGCTACTCCCTTGCTTTGGGTATCCCTAATATCGATACCCGACATCTTCATTTTGGATTTAATGGGCAATTGGCATCTTGGATAATCAAAATTGGAGTTGGGTCTCTTTCCCAATCAAATTTTCTTATTTTTAAACAAATCCGACAGAGAAGCTGTCAATTATAGTATTAAAAGACAAGAATAAACTTAGCATGAGGGATACAACGTATCAACAAGCACAACAAAGCATCAAAGCTAAAGAACTACCACAAGTGAAAGCAACTATCAACAACACAACAACCAATTAGAAAAGGGTTTCAAAAAAAAGAAAAGGGTCTCACATGCTACACAACACCATCTTGCCATTACTACACATCTTGCCACTCTACAAGCCACATACCACAACTAGTCGGTTGCCATACTATGTCACCATCATCGAACGACAAAAGTCAATAAATCAAAAAGGCATTGTCACCGCTTGCGCCAACGTTGCTGATGATGTCCCACACCGAGCCAACCGCTGTCATGCAAGGCTAACCGCCATTGTTCATTGCAAGCTATGTAGAATTGTTTGTGTCGTCACTCAGTTGTCCTGCATCGAATTAGCCCCCCGCTACGCAGGTCTACCATCAAATTCCCCATAGAGATGGAGGTGCTTAGACTTGTTTGCCAAAGCCAATACTCCTGCATGGACATTCAATCCCTCAAGAATTTGTTCTTTCTGTTGACAACGGCAAAAAAAACTTGAGTTGGCTAGCTTTTCGTTTTAGTTTGATCAGAGTTTGGTATCGATAGCTAAGGTAATCCCCTCTCCAAATTTTCGATTGAGAACACATGCATCAAACCGGATCTTTAGAAGTGTTATTGATTCTATGATGAGTAATGTTTTACTTATTTCTACGCCTCCAAGTAGTCCGATTTTTCCTCCTTGATGATAAGGAGTTAAAAGATCCGCTCCTGCAATTGGGTCATTGGGATTACGAATTAGTTGTCTAATTGTCTTGTTGGTAATAATAGTATCTTGTACTTCAAGGGTTATTGATTTGTTCTTTAAAATACTATGAATTTCATTAGTCTATCGAGAATGCTCGAACATACTAAAAATTTATTGCGATAAGTTAGACCTCGATGTCAGCTATGAGGAGATTACCTTTGAGCAAGTTCTCTTGGTACACGTGATTTCTCAAGAAATGTCTCTTGAAGAACAACACCTGTGTAGTATGCCATTTATAACTGACTGACCTACTGCTCCCATCCGTCCTAAAATATAAAGGAACTAGTTTTGTCCTAAGTTAAATCATAAGTTAAATTATGATAACTTTGACTAAATTTATAGAAAAGGGTATTAACATCTATCACATCCAAGAGGTATATTATAAAAGAAAATATTCTCATAATGTATCCAATTAAGCTCGTTTGAAGTTTTATGTATTTTTCTTCTTTTCTATAAATTCGATCAAAGTTATTATAATTTGAATTAGGACAAAACTAGATCCCTTATATTTTAGGACAGATGGAGTACTAAACATTGATTTTCTCCCCTAACTACTCTTAAATATGTTAAATACTTCCTTTGTCCTAAAATATCAGGTGTTCAAGCGATTTTCAGACAAGACAAGAAGCCTGGCAAAAGATCACTTTGCCCCTCACTAATTAGGATGATGAGTGTAGTTGAGTTGTTATTTTTCTTAGTTACATGCTGGCTATTTTGGGTGATGCCAAGTTTAAAATGAATGTCAATATTTTCTATCAAAAAGATAAAGAAGATGAGAGGTTGAGGACCCACAATATCTTTTATTTTAGTACAAATTTTAAACTCTGGATCCATTATATTTCATGATGGAAGGAGTATAGTAGACAACATTCTAAGAGTAGTATCATACCTCGGATTACATGATAACGAAAAAGTTATAATTCTCACAGACCGAACAATTATAGTGGTATGATCTAATTAACCCCTTTTTTATTGTTTTTACAGTTCTGGAAGAAATCAAGCCAAGCAGGTCACAACACACTGACATTTATTCCGGTAAAATACATGTACCACCCTGTTGCTTCCTGGAAAGTGATGAACATAGTTATACACAATTTCCTTGGGTCTGCCGGTCGCGTTACATCAGAGCTTGTTGGACTTGGCGAGGTACACGACGGCTCCGGAGGTGGCCGCCGGGATGACGATGTCGTCGGAGATGGCCTTGAGGCCCGGGACGAACCTCTTGGTGAGGAGCGCGCACACCGGCACGCCGAAGAGGACGACGAGGATGTCGACGGCGGCCTTGCCGAAGGTGAAGCTGTCTATCTTGAGGATCGCCTTGGCGATGTTCTCGAATTCCTGCGCGGTCACTTTCGTCCCCCTTCCCTTGTGGAACTTCTGCGCTTGGGGGAAAACACGGAGGAAACTGAATGAGAAGTCCGCTCTACGGTAAGGCGCTGCTAGCTGTTTGCTTGAGCAGGACAAGCAAGCCGACAACGAGTTTCGCGGGTTTCGATTGCAAAGGAAAGGATGATTCCGCGAAAAAAACCAAAATTATGCTCCGAACTAATCTTAAAAGGCACTGGTATTATTGGAGTAGTCAAAAAAGAGAGATACTTGTAATTGTACAGAAGAAACCTAAACAGATTTCACATTGGCACGAAAGAATCACCCTCACCTCGTACTTTTCCTTGAGCTCCTCTTTTGGTGGTATCCTGTACTGCAACTGCCCTCTCTCTTCGCAAAATTTTCTGAAGTGGAGTGCAAGAGAGAGAGAGAATGCGTAAGAGCGATCTTGTTTAGGTATTATTACTACGTACTCTCTCCGTTCCAAAAAAAAAAAAACCTCGGGAGTATGCAATAGTATTTGATTGCGCCATTTTTTTTAACACCCGGTGATCAACAATGAACGACTCCATGTGATATCATCTTCTACGAATGATCCATAACTGCTTATAATCTAGATTCAGGCCATGCATAAGAATCATTATAAACAATGAACTTACTCGATAAGCTCGTAAATGGCGTGGTAGAACTCATCGAACTCCGTCACATCCTTCACTTTGGCGTCGTAGTTCTTCTTCATGAATTCGATGAGCGCGTTTGCGTCGCTGGATGTGTGCGCTTTCTTCGCGTCCTTCTTCTCGGGGGTCTTCTGCACTGCCTCCTCACCCCCTACCATTCATCAGAGCGACCAGTTTTTTTCATTCGCAATGCGTACGGCATCGGCATTTCCATGGTGAATCGGTCGAGTATGGACTGCGTGTGTTTTGCCATACCTTGCTTCGCCTTGGCAGCTCCTTGGCCCATGGAGTCCCGAATTCTTTCTTCTTGTCACAATTCACAGTTGGAGAAGTAGTTTGCCGTGCGTGCACATGCAGGCACGGCCGCGACGATATATACGTGTGTATGTAGGGGCCGCAGTGATGTTCCTTGTGTGAGACAAAGGCAACGGCATCGCTCCGGCTGAACGCAAAGTCAGGTACGCATCAACCAAGGAAAGGGCACAACACAAGAACGCCAGTGACTCTGGCCTAACGCAAGCTTAGATTCCCTAGCTAGCACATGCCATACGTACACCGTCAGCAAACATTTCTGGGATTGGCAAGGAAACTAGATTTCCTTCAACCCCCACCCCACACCGACCCACGCACGCACCCAAAAAAAAGGATAAAGAAAAGAAAAGAAGAAGAAAGAAAGAAAACAGTCAAAGCATACAAAGAGGTCGGCATTGCGCAGATAAAGACTAAAGCTTCAGTCCCAATTCATTGCAGCAATAACATTCACTAAACCCCTAAAGCTAAAAAGTATAACTTACTTTCAGCATTGACGATACAGGCTAACAAACTCTATGCTATACAATAAGTGAATCAGCCAATGTACTAACCAAGGGTCTGTTCTGCCACACCCTAAGATCTTACTGCTCTCAAACACACCATTTTCAGTAAGAACAAATACAATAGAAAAAATAATCATCATGGCCTCATGGTAAAGGATACCTCTACAAGCGCTTGACATACAGCCAAAACAAGATATTGACAAATAATATCTTCTGCATATGTATTTGATCTTTGACTGCTTCATCCTGTGTGGTGAGCCGAACATTATACACCGTTTGGTTAGGTAGATACTGGCTTCAAGAGTCAAATACCGGTTACAAAATTGTGATGCTGCAGCAATAAGAGCTGTGCTTCAGCCTTGATAGCATGCTCAGATTCTGCCAAGCGGTGACTCATCACTGTGCTCATCTACCAACCACAGCCCATGATCACGGAACCGTTTTATCTTCTTCTCAAACCCTGTGATGTAGTTATTATGTATAATAACATGCTTGCCCTTATTCTGCTTGACCCATGTTTTATTCTTGAAATATAGGCCTCCAGTTGGAAATGCAGACTGAGGCAGGAGGTACACATCAACCTGCAAGCATACCTTCTGTTAATAGTTTTATAAAGGACACTATCGTTGAAGGAATATCCTAAATGTATGAAAAAGGAACAGAAAGGTACCATGAGCTATATGACAAATTGTTATGTACTATTCGTTTCGGTGTCCAAAGGACATCCATTAATATACTTTCAGAAACAGAATTTAATATAAAAACGAGAAATCTAGAATGCAGCAAGGTTGTTGCCAGAAGACATACATCATTTTATTGTCGAGATATTTTAAAGAGACACTATGAAATACAGTACCTTTCCAAACTTAGTCTGATAATCTTCAATAAAGCTTGTTAAACATTATTTTTCCATATGCATGTACAGAATATAAAAATACAAAAAAAATATTAAATTGAAACATTTTTTTACTACATATTCACTGTTAAGATTTCCATGTAAAACTTTTTTTTTGGCATATATTACTAGTCAAAGTTTTAGAAGCTTGACCACATAAATTCTGAAAAACATAATGCATCCATATGGAAAACAGAGGAAATAGAAACCTACAACTAATGTCACGATGATACAGTTACTCCGAGGTAGCCTTAAGGGTTATCTAGTTGTATTTATAAAACATATCTACTTACTGAGATCTGGGACAGATGGAAAGAGATGCAACAGGCCACACCGAAGTCCAAAGAGTTTCCAGAAACCACTCCCAATCTAGATTTTTAGCAAGATTGAAAAAAGTTGTTCTCCAACTCCAACTCCTTATCTAAACTCCCAATCTTTCCGCACTTGGGAAAATCAATGCAATCGCAGGAAATATACGCTCGCGTATCGACATGCCAATCTAGAAGTGGAAGGATGTTGGAAGAATAAAGAGTAAGACAGGTTCCTGATGCAAATATAAGAGAGAGAAAGAAAGTATAAAAGTGGTTGGGGTGATTTGGAAATAGTTCGGGATTCCTGATGCAAAATTGTCTACTATATTTTAGGAGCGAGGTTTTGGAAACTGTTGGAGGAAGGCAACACATATGCTCCCAATTTTTTAGCCACTTCTAAAACTCATTGATTTACCAACTAATTTTTTGGGAACTATTGGAGATGCTCTAAGGAAATATCATCCAGTTGGAAAGAAAAGCTACTATGTTTAGGGGAAATATGCAGTTGTTATTAAGAACCACAAATAAAAGGCTGATGCGTATACTGTAAAAATCTAGACAGTTTCATATTATTTACAGGCAAATGTAATGTTAGAAGTCACAAGTCCACTTTGGCACGAGGACATGTGGAGCCACCAAGAAAATACACGCACATAGAAACAAAAATGAATGCCCATGTTGTAGAGGGAGATCTATATCGACAAATGCACTTACCATTACAGAAACTTTGAAAATCACAAACTGCTGTACCAAATCACCAAAAAGTAATTCTTTTTAAAAGGCAAAAAGTTCTCTGCACTTCGTAATGTTCTAGGAAATTTGGCAAGTAGTTTGTATTGTTTAAATCTTATTAGGCTCAACAAGTCTTTCACATTAGTTCAAGGTGAAAACAATGGTTTCAATTTCCTTCTCCTTATAAACAAACAACACAGCAAGGTTAAGGCTAGATTGGATCAATTAAGCCCATATCATCCACTCATTCTGCCCAACAGCACAACTAATATCAAAGTAGGCTGGCTATGCTAGATCCTAAATCACAAACTCAAACATGCGATGGGTCATGCGTTAGCGCGACCCCTCCACCTGCCGCCGCCGAAGAAGAAGGGTCCAGGGTCAGGGTTCCCAATCACCGGTGGCTCTAGAAAGGGGTTTGGGACGCAGCCATGACACGACGGTGGGCCGCGGTCTGGCGGTGCAGTGAGGTTACCGCTGAGAGCCACGGGTGACAGGAGGGCAGCGAGCGGAGATGGAGGTGGGGGCGTCGCGGTGCAAGTGATCACTGGTCACTGGTGGCCCTGTGATTAGGGGAAAGCGAGGTCGAGGCGACGGTGACGGGAGGCAGGAGGGGCAGCGAGGTAGTTGGAGCTGCCGACCGCCAGTGGTTGAAGAGAGTGGCGGAGGCGGCAGAGGAGGTAGACGAGGGAGGCGGGGAAGACGATAGGGAGAGGGGTTGCGCTCTACCTGAAGTTGCGACGGGTCACGTGTTAACCTCCCCAATCCTAAGTCGGCTCCAAATAGTGAAATAGTTCACAAATTAACTGAAAAAACTCAACACACGGGAAAAGACCATCCTGCAGCATTGGATTAAGAAGAAACCTCTCGCATGCAGGATGGGAAACAGCCCGAAGGCCAGATGCCCTGGACGTACCATTGAGTGCCCAGGACACATGCCTGAGGCCATGTGGTTACACATATAGCTTAGGACCACAGCCGATGAAGGGTGCTACCACAGGGAGTCGAACTCAGAACCAAAGGTGCTACTAAGGCTCCTATGACCATTAGGCTACAGACAAGTTCGCAAATACTTCACAGATAAGCCCTGCCTGGCACAAGCCCAATGGTACTGAGGCATGGGCGCACGGCATATTTTGCTCTTTCATTTAGCATTATGAATATACAAATCAACCGCACAACTAAAGCAAACCACTAATTTGTTCAAGCAAAAGTTGATAACTAAGATCAATTACCCTAAGGTATGCATATTACCCATTCAACCAAATGCTCACAAAACACTAAAAAAACAACTCCAAGATAATCTGATTGATAAAAGAATAGAAGACAGTCTATGGTGCTAGGATGTTCTTTGGCATGTATCCTTGCATTGTAAGAGAAGAAATCTAGGAGAAACAAACCTGCCCAGCAGTCTTGTTCAAAGCCCAGTTGAATGCTGGCTGATCATTTGACTTCCTCTGCTTCGACCAGGGCTGCTCCTTAAGCTCCTCGATCCACTTCCTTAACAGGAGCTTGGCACCTTCAGTTGGCCTGAGGAAAATCATGCAGCTGCAAATATATGTCCGCCCTTTCTTCCCTGGTGGTGGTAGCTCATGTGAATGATCAAGTGGTTTCACCTGCAATGCAATCCACAGTTCCCCAGTCAGTTCCTCAGTAAGCTATCTTCCAACCAAACCCTCAATTGCAAACGCAGCAACCACACGCACATACAGGAGTCATATCGTCCATGAAGTACACGTCGTGATTCTCGACGAGGTAAGGGAACGGGTCGGCAAGCCACACCATGTCGACATCGTTGTACATGACGCTGTACCCGAGCTCGAGAATCTGCAGCAGGTGCCGTGGCCGGCGCGAGGTGAAGTTGAAGAACCCCTGTAGTCACAGACGGAAAGGATAGCCGCAGTTACGCATGCAGACACAGACATTTCATCGAACAGTTTGAGCGGTGGATTCCTCCTCACCTGGGATCCAAATTTGTGGGCGGTCTGGGCATCGGGCGCGGGGGGCACAAGGACGGCGTGTCCTGGCCAGGCGGCATTGATGCGGTCGAGGGTCTCGTAGTCCTCGGCGATGACGAGCACCTGATCTGCGCGGCCGGCGCGACGGACGCTGATGAGCCAATTGGAGAGGAAGGGGAGGTACGGTCCGGAGACAGCGGCGAGGAGCACGGTGCCGTTTCCCGCTGCGGCGGCGAAGGCGGCGGCCTCGTGGAGGGTGTAGGAGCGCCACGGGGGCGAAGGAGGGCGCGCTGCTGGACCCCAGGGGAGGACGAGGGCAGCGAAGAGGAGAACCGCAAGGAGGGAGAAGAGGTAGGGGAGTGTGAGGAGGTGGTGCGGGCGGGAGGGGGCGGTGGCGGCGGTGGGGGAGGAGACGGGGAGAGAGTCGCCCGCTGCCGGCGGCTTCTGGTGCGGCCGCTGGTGGAGCGACATTGCCGAACGCCGGAGACCGGTGTAGCCTTTCGGGGGGAGGGTCAGGAGTGTGGAGTAGTGCTAATGTAGAATAGTCACGCGGCGTTGGTCGGTGGTGGTGAACAGCTGATATGATGGATCGTGGCCGGGAAAGAGCGACGGCCGACGGCGAGTGGCTGATTGGGCTCGAGCGGTAACGCCGTGACGGTGGGTGTAACACGATAGATAGGTATTGTTAGCACTGCCTTGGCTTGGTTTAGTTGTGCAAATCAATACCATCGTAAAAAAAATGCTCAAAAAAATACCTTCGTAAAAAATACAGTTATTGGTTTTGAGAAGTCAAACAATTTAAACTTTAACTAAATATTTATGATACAAAATAGGTACCATTAAATTAATGATGGAAAATATTTTTAGTGTAAATTTTATTAAAGACACAAATGTTAATACTATTTTTTTTTCAAATTTGATCAAACTTAAATTAGTTTGTGTGGCACAAGTTTCATAGTTACATTCTTTTATGGATGGAGATAGACAGGTAGTGGGGCAGTTCGGCTAGTCAGTTTTTCAGCCGAAATTCACTGTTCCCGACTGAAAAACACTGATCACCCTCTCACAAATTTCTCCATATTCATCCAGATTCCTCCAAATTCCTCCAAGCGAACATGGCCAGTAGCATCTTACTTTCGCTTTTATCTGTGGCATCCAATATGACTCGATAGACACCTGTTGCCAACGAGAGTTATCTTTGCCAACAGTGGAACCAAAATTTAGATATAGGGGGCTATTCAAACAGATAACTATCATGCATGATGAAATATATACACGACAAGAATAGATCCATACATAACAATCAAATGGCCGTTTATGTCACAATGCAAACAAAAACTTTTAAAAAAAGAACACTGAATATTATACTAAAAAGGGAGCAAAATTAATTAGCTTTAGGTTTCTAACTTTCATCTGATCAATCTAATTCTTAGGCCAGAAAAAGAATCGTGGTAATAACAGGAACAAAGGAGATAAGGAAGATAACAGGAAAATTGATCCTAAATAATATAAATGTCAATGGAGATCATTTCTGAGGGAGCAAACCAGCAAAGTACTAATACAATGAACTAGCTAATTAGAGGATGAACTTTGGGGATGAACTAGATATTTTGTAGGCATAAAACAAAGAACAGAAGAGATAGAGAAAATATAGGAAGGTCTAATTATGTGGGATACTATTATATATTAGTATAGAGTGAGGACAAGGAATCAAAATACAAGTAGGATTATTAACTAGTTAATTGGACTATTAAGTAGTTAATTGAGGAGATGCAATGTGAAGAGCATAGAAAGTTGGAGGTGTCGGCGCCCGAATCCCTTCCCTCCGCCACTGTTTGGCAATAGGGCGTGTGTTATGGGCATTTTAAGTTTGGTTGGCATTGATAGATGTGTAGGAATATGTATGACACTTGTTTTTTCATATAAATATGATAGATTATTAATTTGATTAGTGCTAGATTTCCCATCCTTTCCCCTATTTATATGGTTTCTACAAGAGTAATATTACTTTTTTGCATCCAAACACAAGTAATACTAAGCCAAAATCACCATGTATCAAGCACCACAATAAACACAGTGACAAATAGAAGCCTTAGTGCCTGTGTGGTAGCGATTCATGGACAACTTCAGAATTTGTTTTGTGTGGAGGTATACAAATGACTAAAAAGGAATCTACTTCTCACGAGGATCTTCGCAAAACACGTTGAGACAATGTGCAGCCCTAACTTCCACTGCTCCCCGCGACAAGCCTATGATGAGTGTATGTATACTTTTGCTCATAGATATAACCAAACTTACAAGGACAACCACCCTCTCCCCTCGCCTCCAACCTTATGTTGTAGATGAAAAGATCTTGTTTGGTTTTGATAATTGAGTGACAATCTAGGTGGACTAATATATGATTATGTTGAGATACACTGGTGATTGGTCCACAAGTACACTAGTGTGAGCAACTTGAGTCATGGTGGTGAAGTGGCTTGGATTTGTTGCAAAGCTCAACTAGGTGTGATGAAGGAGCTCATTGCATATGAGACAACATGATGTCATGTGCCTAGATGGAGAAAATCAAGAGACATGGCTTGGCTATGATGGATCGGGTTGTAAGTGTGAAGGGTAAGTTAGAGGCTTTGGAGCGACGGACCGCATGTGGCAGAGAAGCTTGAGCAAGGACTTAGTGTTGATGGACCGAGGCAACGGTGAAGAGCAAGCGAAGTTGCAATCGATGAGCCAATAAGGCCATATGATGACATGACATGGATCATATCATTCAAAATAGATCAAGCCAAGTGTTGATTTGTGTTGATGATCAAGTGGCTTGATGAAGAATGATAGAGGAACTTCATGCTATGAGCAATGATCAAAGGTAGCGTGGTTGGCTACACGCCAAAATCGTGTATGACATCGTCCAAGGTATATTGTTCTTCTTGCAAGGCAGTGTTGTCATCTCCTACAAAAAAAAATTGTACACGGTGTGCTAATTGTCGGTAAAATTGATTATGAAACCTTTTCACGTGGACAATTATTGTTGCAAACATTACTTGGACATGAGGGAAATAATCACCTGCATGTAAGTTTTCTTGGTCTTCTTCGTGTGGGTCATTTAAATCAAATGGATGGCCAGTGTTGTCACCTAGTACAGAAGGAAGCTGATAATTATGAAACTGCATTGTCACCCACACATATGAGTTATCCCCTCTCACTACAATTTAATTTTGAACTTGAAGCAAATATGTTGCAGGCCTTACACAAAGAATTCACTAATCTTGCTTGCAATTTTATGAGAGAGGGACTAAATCAGTTGAATCTATTTTTAGGACACTGGTTGATACTAAATTTACAACAGAGAGAGGACTGCAAAAGAGTTTTAAACACTAAAAATCCCAAATGTTGCTCATGATTTTAATACAGAGGAACTAAACTAGCACTTAGTAATTTAGGGGAGAGATAGATAGACTAGAGAGAACATCTGCTAGACATAAGATTATCAAACTTTTTCACATGGACGATTATTGTTGCAAAGATGACTTGAACCTGAGGGAAATAATCACCTGCATGCAGGTTTTCTTGGTTTTCGTCCTATGGATCATTTAAATCAAATGGATGGCCAATATTGTCACCTCGTACATAAAGCTGATGATTATGGGAATGCATTGTCACCCACACATGTGAGTTAATCCTCTCACTACAATTTAATTATGAACTTGAAGCAAATATGAGCTGCATGCCTTATGCCAAAAAATCACTAATGTTGCTTGCGATTTTATTTGAGATAGATTAAATCAGTTGATATTGATTTTAGGATAGAGAGAGGATAAGGATCCATGCTGCAAAAGAGTTTTAGGTAAGAGATAAACACTAGAAATTCTCAGATGTTGCTAGTGATTTTAGTAGAGAGAAATTAAACCAACACATACTAATTTGTGATTTGAGAGAGAGAGGCTAGATAGAACACCTGTTATTGCTTGTGTTTTGTAGGAGAAAGAAATAAATAAGCACAACTAGCTTTAGGAGAGAGAGAGGATAGAGAGAATTAGAACCAGTACCACTCCCACTCAATTTTTGACAGAAATAGTTGTGCTTACCTGGATGAATTTCTTCGTGTTCATCATTCTCATCAGGATAGACACCAAAGTGGTCAGCTCCCCCAACTTTGAACTGCAGCCACTTGAAAGGTCCTAAATGGCTAGAGGGGGGTAAATAGCCTATTAATTTTTTTTACAAATTCACTAGAGCACAAGGTTTGTAACCTAAATGGCGAAATACAATTTTGCTCTAGCTCTACAAGAGTTACAAGCCACCTATACTAACAATTCTAGTTACTATGATCTCTAGGTTCACACAAAGGCTATGTCACTACTCTCTAAACTAGTGAGCTCTCAAGGACTAACTAAAGAGCCTCACTAAATAAACTAACAAGCTCTCAAAGACTATCTACACTAAAGAGCTTGACTAGGCAAGAAAGTAATCAATGTAAATACAAGAGAGAGTATGGTGATTATACCGCCGTGGCAAGAGTGATGAACCGATCAATGAATACCAACTCAATCACCGGGAGAAATCCAATGCACAAGAGACAATTAATTTTTCTCTCAAGGTTCACGTGCTTACCGGCACGCTAGTCCCCGTTGTGTCGACCACCACTTGGTGGTTCGACGGCTAATAGGTATCACACACCTAGCCAACACTTGGCGCCGCAAGAACCTACCTGTAACACCCTCGGTGTTACGCACTAAACCAACTACTTTGTCATGTCACGAGCATCATGTTTATGTATTAATACATGTGATAAAATGTGTAGATCAATTTCTGTAACTCGAAATGATCAATAAAAATGCTAAACGAAAGTTGATTTGATAGTTCATGCATATCAAGTAGGGTTTAGAACTAATTTTTATTAAGCAAAATACTATAGAACATGTGTGTGACACTTAAATGAAGTTTGAAATTTGAACTTTATAGATGATAGTGAAATACTTACTGTCGAAAAGTTATATTACTAACTAATATTTCCAATAGCCTAGAAATCACAAATTGAAATCAAATTCAGCTCAAAACTTAGAAAATTTCCAAGTTTGTCAACAACTAGACATTGCTAAATTTAGCAATTTATTAAAAGAGATTGGGTTAGAGGGTGATGTGGTGTTTTAGCTCGGCTGAGCAGCCTCATGTATCAGTTTGATCGTGGTAAAGTCGGTTTCGGTTTAGAGACAATGGTTTAGTGGTAGTCGCTGCTTTAAACTCCGTGTACAACATGTTCTCGGGCTAGCCCTCTGGGCTAGGGCGTGATCACCAGGCCACGGGCATGAGGCGTGGGCGCGCCGTCGTGGCAGCTTTGCTTGGCATGCACTGCTTGCTTCGTCGGCGCCACGACTTCGACCGCGAGAGCCACCGTTCTTTGTGTCTTGCCCGGCTAAGCGGCGCTGCCCCTACCCCGTGCGCTGCCGAGCCACCGACCCACCTCACGCCGCGAC